AAGTGTCTAAAAGGGCATAGATGCCCTTAGATGTAGGGTAAAAATATTAATGTTGTATGTGTTTTTTATACTTGCATAAAAAGTAGCAAGGACACATTAAATTCATCAAAAGTGATAGTAAAGAACTTTTAATCACAATTAATTTGAGAATTGCTACTTATAATAAAAATAAAATGTTTCTTGAACACAAAATCTGCATATTAGAATAATTTCTGAAGAATCATGTGATTCAATGAAGACTAAAGTAATGATGCTGAAAATTCAGCTTTGCATCACAGAAATAAATACGATTTTAAAATATATTAAAATAGAAAACATTTATTTTGAATTGTAATAATATTTCACAATATTAGCTTTTTTTATCAAATAAACTTTTAACCAGTGATGCATATATAAATTATATAAAGTAATGCAGTGATGTACAGATAAATGGATCTTAATGATTTTTACTGAAGTATTTGCTTCCCATCAGCCCCTTTCATTGTGACCTATACGGGTTGTTGAACAGTGTAGTTTCTCCTCTTTGTTCTGTTCTAGCTCATGACTGCACTGAGAAGCCGAAGCCACTGTAAATAAACATTTCTTTAACCTTTTCCTACGGCACACCTACTATGAAAATATTCTTGAACGGGTTGGTGAGATTTCCATTCTGGTGTGTCTATCATTTCCATTCTCATATTTCATTCTCCAGCGCTCTGTTCATCACGGATATGACAGAGATTAATTTTTCCCACAGCAAACCCTCTGATTACAGGAGGATAAAGATCATGCAAAGACACCGAGTGGAGTGGCGAGAGGGTTTCCACTGCAGGAAAATCCATATTGTGTGTGTGTGTTTCTGTGAAAGTGATAAGCTCAGCCAGTGTGTGTGTGTGTGTGTGTGTGTGTGTGTGTGTGTAATCCTTTTAGTCATTATGTGGAGTGAGCTGACAGGTTTCAGATGTTGACATTTAAAGGACAAATCTTGTCTGTCTCTGCAGCTCAAAATCAGAAAGGAGCTCCACCTGTCACTGATATTTACTATACTGTGCGTGTGTGTGTGTGTGTGAGAGAGAGAGTGAGAGAGAGAGAGAGAGAGAGAGTTTGTGCATATATGTGTGCTCGTGTCCTCCTTTGTGAGCGTGTCTGATATTCAGTGCTTTACTGCTCTCTTTTCCTCCCTCGTTCTGTTTCTTTTCTTCCTTTTTCCGAATGGAAGGGCCATCAATCAGAGAGAAAGAGAGGGAGAGCGAGGAGAGGAGGGGGGAGAGGGGGATACTGGCGGAACGCCAGGGGAAGAGAGGCTGGCACGCTGCCCAGAGAAAGAGAGAGAAAGAGCAAGAAAAGGAGAGAGCGAGCACTAGAGCGAGCCAGAACTGAGAGAAGGGAGTTTAAGACAGAGAACAAGCACAGATAGAGAGAGACAAGGGGTGAAAGAGAGAGAGAGAGAGAGAGAGAGAGAGAGAGAGCAGTGTGTACTAACTAAAGACCACATAAAATGGCTTGTTGATTACATTTATTCATTTAGTGGATGTTTTTATCCAAAAATGAACATAAGTGATTCATCTTAAGGAGGCAATAACACAAGAAGTAGCAATACAAAGCAGTGAACGCATAGAATGTGTAGTTATTTTTCTGACAAGTAGTTCTCTTTTCTGTGTTGACATGTTTTCAACTGAAACAGGAAGTTTGGAGAAATCTTGAATGGCTCATATTTTACAACAGGCTGTAGTTAACTGTGACTTGCTACTTTTTTTGATAATTAGATTAGGCGGAGGAACGTTTTCATTCTAGAGAGCATCTGATTGGCCAAAAATATTGATACAGCCAGGGTCTAAAAATAACATTTTGCCATACCTGGCTCGAGAAAATATTTTTACCAGCCATGGAACAGTACGTGCATTATTTCATTAAAAAACAGGCAGAAGAAATTGGCGCAACGTGTCTAATTTGAATTAATATTATTACTATTAAAATATATTTATTATTATTATCATTATTAATTCAAATTATAAAAAATAAACCAATAAATAAATATAACTTTAATACTATTTAAGTAAAGTATTTTATAATAATATTTTAACTATATTATCATTTAACAACAGTACAATTACAATACAACAATACAAAAAACAACCATAAATCTTTCTCTGCTTTCAAACGTTAATTTTTTATTTTTGTGGAAAACCGCAGTTCATGAGAATCCTTTTTGTGCGTTGTGGTACTCTCGATAATGGCGGAAGACGGTAACTCGGGGGAGAAGAACTGTTGAATAAAGTCTTTATTTTTGTTTTCTTTGCGCACAAAAAGTATTCTCGTAGCTTCGTAAAATTATGGTTGAACCCCTGGCGTCACATGGACTATTTAATGATGTCCTTACTACCTTTCTGGGCCTTTAAAGTGGTAGTTGTGTTGCTGTCTATGCAGGGTCAGAAAACTCTCGGATTTCATCAACAATATCTTAAAGGGGTTCGCGATTATGGTAAGGGGCGTTACATTTCCGATGAGTGCTTGCGGTGTTCGGCCAATCACAATGCACTGGGTCAGCTGGCCAATCAGAGCAGACTGCGCTTGTCGGAAAGAGGGACTTTGTAGAAAACGAAGCGTTTGAGAGAGGCGGGGCATATAGGACCTACAATAATGTACAGTATTTGAAAAATAATGTGTTTTTTGAACATTAAAGCATGTCAACATATTCTGTTACACCAAATACACAAAATAATGATCTTTAAAAAAGCATCATATGACCCCTTTAATTTGTGTTCCGAAGATGAACGAAGGTCTTATTTTCGGGTTTGGAACGACATCAGAATTTTCATTTTTGGATGAACTATCCCTTTAAAGGCTTTTATTATTTTGCATATTCAGGTAAAAAAGCAACCATCATACGTGTCTTTATAAGTTCCCCTCCACCTTTTAAGAGTTTTGTTTTGTTGAGCTGCAGTGCAGAGAAAAAAAACAGTGTACCCGGTTACATAAAACGACGACTGTAAAACTGGTGATGTGAACAGATGCATAAGGTATTCCCTTATGCAAATCAATTATGACTGTCAAATAGCAAAATGAATATTCATGAGCAAAGCTGATTCATTTTATTTTGTGTTCCCCACCCGATTACATAACCTGTAACAATGATCTCAATCAATCAATCATTAAACCAGCGCTGTATCTTCGTACTGTGGCAGTTGTTTTTAAATAAACTGTTATTTACTTATGTAATGAACTGATATTTTATTATACATTTTAGGACAGCATTCAAAACATTGAATTCATTCTGGTTTATGCAAGAATCGGGCCAATATATTGGCTTAAATTAAGCTAACTCTGCTTGGAACAACACATGGGAAGCATTTCAAGGCCGCTAACATGATGATCTGTAAACATTTAAATGGAAAAAAGTATAAATCATGTCCATTTCATTAAATCATCTTGAGAATCTCCTAACAGTTTATATAAAAGGCAATGGCTACCCAGATTGCCTCTGAGTGCTTTTGTCATTTAGATATAACATCACTGAAAGATAACTGATTTCTTCTGGTCGGGAGTTATTTATATATGTGATCTTTTCTAAAATGGAGGTGTTGTGGCATACTTACGGCACCGTTTGTACATACATGTCACATGATCCATTTTCTACCTTGATTGGTCCATCTACTGGGTCCAGTCCTTGTTCTGACAGCTGTTTCAAGGCACTAAGAGCAGCCTGTGTGAGGTAAGGAAACAGATGGCTTTGAGTGAGACAACATAACCCACATCAGCTGCTTTTTAAATAACACTCACTATCAGAAACCCGAGACTGACAGGACGCTTTCTGCTCCCTCTGTTTTGTTTGGCTCCTTCCAGCTCTGTGTTTATCTAACGTTTATCTAATGTTATTAGGTCAACGTTTTCAGGCTTGCATTTCCTCCGGCCAATGAGTGGGTTTATGCTGCCAATCGGCCACGTTATGGGCCGATATGCAAAAAATTGGCAATAAATCAAGTGTGCGGACACAGTGTGCTGAAATAATAGCGTCTGATAACTCAGGTGTAACTGATATCCTGTTTTGCTCTGGAACGTCATTGAGCCCACAGGCAGAACAGCCAAGGAGAGACTTCGACTAAACCACAAAGTTTACAAACTCGTAAACTAACATCAAAGGAATTGCAATTCAAATTTGAACTTATGGGAAGTATAATAATAACTGAAATGTAATTGTAATTAGTTTAATTTTTAATAATACATTTCATTTTTCATAGAAATCATCCTTAAGCATCATTATTTTTTTTAAATGCAACTTATACAGTACGTATTTGATTTGACCGCTGCATGGCACTATGCCAAGGTCATGGTTTCAATTCCCAGAACATACATAAATGTATATCTTTGAAAGGTCTCTTTGCTAAATTTATAAACTGCTTTGGAGTAAAGCATCTGCCAAATGAATAATGATAATGTGAACTTTGCAAAGAGATTCAAAGAAAAGAAAGAAGAAATAAAAATAATATATATGCTGTATATGTGTGTGTGTGTGTGTGTGTGTGTGTGTAGACAGACAGACAGACAGATAGACAGATAGATAGATAGATAGATAGATAGATAATGATTTAAAAAAACTTTTTTTTTACTGACCACGGCTGAGTAACTTTTCATTTCCAAAACTCTATAACTTCCAAAACATTTTATGTAATAAGACTCAAATCTGATGTCAATATTTATTTTTATAAGGTTATCTGCACAATTAAAATCTGCTTTCATTTTAGTGGCTCTACTGATGGTTTTGACACAACTGAACTTGCCAAATTTATCGAAGAGAAATGTCCTGTATTATTTTAATATGATTTATATACTATTAGAATATGTATAATATTTTTAATTAGCTTATATTTTAATTTTTCTGTTTTCATTTAGTTTGTTTTAGCAAATGTTTTGTTCTTTTGTCATTTTTATTTATTTATCTATTTTTTTTTAAATACTTTTATACTTTAAATACTATTTAGCTTTTATTTATATTTATTTTAGTTTTAGTAATTTTAGTGCTTTGTGCATTTTTTTAATGCAAGGTATTCCTCTAATATTTATATTTTATTTTATTTCAGCGTTATTTCAAATAACGAAAAAGTTTAATAGTTTTTGTTTTGGTTAATAATAACACTGGAAATGTCTAATAGGCTAAAAGAGTACAGTGAATATAAGTCAGAATAATTAGTCAATATTATTAATGTAATTTTTAATGGTTTGTCCCAATGGTTAGACATAACGAAATTCCTCTCTTGTGAGACAGCATTTGAATTACAGTTTAGTGCATTTTGCTTCCTGTCATTTCCATTCAACATCCTGTATGGGATGGCCAAGTAAATCCAAATTCCAACATGAATGGTAAATGAAGCCTTAAATTCTTTTTTTGCATGCAGTTAACAGAGTTTCGCACGACTCCGTTAAGTGCACACAGGCCTTAAATGTATCATTTCTAAAAAGGAAGTGTATCCTGTACAGTATGTGAGTTGGCAGTCAGATGTTACAGGCAGATGCTGCTCTCCTTGACCGGATGTTAGGAAGTCTTATAGAACATGTCTGTCACAATCCCTGAAGCCCTTTCAGCAGGACCAAATAAAATGACTACGACTGAGAGTCATGGCTCTAGAGGGATGCAGAGCGAAAGAGAACAAGAATAGTGAGAGTGTTGTGAGGAGGGGTGCAGGAGACCCTCGCAGTGACAGAAGCGGGTTGAGAATTGGCAGATTCACCTGGTTGTCGGGGCTGATGCTCTCTCCAGCATCCTGCCAATGAGCACCAGATGTGCTGCATGGGACGCAACAACCATGACATATTTCTCACAGCTGACAGCCTATTCCCTCTGAACCCAAACCCCCCAGCACCCCAGCCCACTCACGAGAGGCGTGGACAGCACACACACACACACAGATGTGTGTGCATTCCTCTCCCTGATTAATCAGTATTTGGCCGGATCATATAACGCCAGCTAATTGTCTCAGGCACCCTGTTGTATCCATCTCAGAGAACAGACTTTGATAAGTGTTATGCATCAAATATCATGTGATCTTAGATCAGTCATAACTTATACTATGAAGGATGTACATAGTGCTCCCAAAAAGAATTTTGTTTAATTTACACTTAAAATAGTCTAAAATGCTTTTAAATTAAATGCAAAATATCAAACCAAGTAGCATAGTTTGAGGTCATTACATTTATTTTTACATTTTGAGGGAAATCTCTTACGCACATCAAGGCTGCATTTATGTAATGAAAATACAGTAAAACAGAAATAGTGTGAAATATTTTTACAGCTTAAAATAACTCTATAAATGACTAAAGCCCCATTCACACCAAAGACGATAACGATAAAGATATAGTTCTAAAAATCGTTCTCAATTTAAAAGAATAGCAGAGTCCACACCACAACTATAACGATAAAGGCACAGAGAAACGATATCGTTGGAATCACAGCTGATGAACGATACAAACATTGACAGCCAATCAGAATCAATCCTGCTATAACGAGCTCGAAAATTTAAAGCGGCAGACATGTGTGCACTTAGAATAAACAGACGATATCGTTCACTGGTGTGGATGCTAATATCGTTATCTTTATAGTTATCATTCTTGGTGTGAACGGGGCTTAACTCTCTACAATTCTTTTTTTTTTTTCATATTTTAAAATGTAATTTATTCCTGTGATGCAAAGCTGAATTTTCAGCATCATTACTCCAGTTTTCAGTGTCACATGATCCTTCAGAAATCATTCTTATATGCTGATTTGCTGCTCAAGAAACTTTTATCATCAATTATTATCAATGTTGAAAACAGCTGCGCTGCTTAATATTTTTGTGGAAACAATGGCAATTTTTTCTTTAGGATTCAGTGATTAATATAGTTTATTTCTATTTATTTCAAATGGAAATCTTTGTAACGTGTGTAAAAGTCTTTACTGTCCCTTCTGATAAATCCATTGTTGATGTGTAAAAGTATTAATTTCTTTAAAAAAAAAAAAAAACCTTTGAACAATAGAGTTGTATAAATCTTACTTATTTTATTTTTTTAAGGTTTTGCTTGAAAAGTCTGCTTTTCTGCAGTGATGTCCATACACTTTTCAGTGTCTTAAATGGCTGCTTTTAGGCTCATTGCTAACAGTCGGAAAGCCTCACAGTCAATAAATAGGACAGGCCTGAAACAAATCCAATCACCTTACAGAATCTTGACAAAAACCCAGACTCAGACTTAACATCTCAAAGAATGGCCCATCATGTGCTAATGTGAAAATGGAGTTGAGCTGGCCAAAGCACAGGAAATGAGTGCAGAACATGACAACAGTTTATGCCATCACATCTGCAGGGATGACAGTCAAATCACTGCGAACGGTGAAAAGTGAAGTCATTTTATCACGGCCAGTGCTGTACACCACATATATTCATCCATTTACGAAACCCCTTTTTGAGGATTTTACGTGTGGAATGTCTTATCAAGTCGGGAAATCTTTGGAAAACGAACTCTTATCTATAATGGAACATACTGTATGGCTGTAGTCTGTTGCATGTAAATTCCCAGAGGCGTTTGGACCGGTAATAAATCAGGGTTAAATTAAATTTGTTTTGGTGATTGATGACAAGTGTGTATAAGGCTCAAATAGGAGGACATTATTCAGCCAGGAAATTGTTCAATATTCCAGACGATAATTTAAAGGCATTCTGAGTTTTCCCTGTAAACGCACAGTTCTCAGGACTGCAATGAAAGAGCAAGCACCAAAATGACTTCCTGAATGCCAAATAAATCATCCATAGTCCAACTTAATACTCAATATGTGTTTAATTTACTTCAGGGAACATATGCACGGTATGGAAACTAATGGAGGGGGAATGAAAACAACACCATCCCAAGACGTAAATTCAGTCTCTAAATTGAATCAAAAACGTTGTTCGCGACTAAATTCTCACTGACATTTAAAAAGCCTCGCGTTCTAAGCCATCTAACGCATTTCTGGTAAAAATGAGGCTTGAGATGTAAACGTAAGCTTGGACTTTTGATGGATTCAGACGCCTCTACGGTAAAAAGCGTATAACTCATCCTCTCCTGTGGCCAATAAATTGCAATCAAAAGGGTAATTACCGGTGGTGTTGTGTGTGTGCCATTACAGTCTCTGAGTAAATAAGCAGCATCTGCTTTTGCGCTGCCAGACAAAGACCATGAATCAAGCCGGTGGAGACAGGCTTGTGATAAAGGCCTGGCCGCCCATCACCAAAACAGAGGGCTCAAAGATAAATATCTGACTATCTATTGTAACAACAGTCAATTACATTATTATTTTTCTAATGAGATAGGCCGAATCACTGATGGGCTGATATATGTTTAGTCTAGCCCCCCAACCTGGAAGTGGTCAATCTCTGTCGTTGAGAACCTCAGATCAGAAGTAGTGCTGTCCCGGGACCCCAGGTGACACCCCCACATCACTCCTCCTGCTTTAGATAACACGCCACCACTCAGCGAAGCTCAATCGATAAATCTCGACATGCGCTACTTTACGGGACGCATTCATCAGCTCACCGTTGGATTCAAACGAATGGAAAAAAGGCAGAATGTGGAATGTGTCAAAGCTAAATATATCAGAGCGGACTAAAAGGCGGCGGAGGATGACGAACGGAGGACTTTGTCAAAGGACAGTGAGGAGTCATTTTTCTAAGCTGCTTTAATGGTTTCCCTGATTGCATT